GTAATATATGTATTTCCGATTCGTAAAACTGAGCGCGGATCTTATTGCATATTAATAAATATGCATTTTTAAATGCGATACGTTGAGGCGTATGCGGAATTATTTATAAGGCTAAAGTTTTAGTTGTTGATGTAACAATCTAACAAGTTGAAATACTATTTTCAAAACGATAAAATATGTATATAGGTACGGTTGCTACATAAATATGTAGAAATTAAATATTATGCATATATAGATGAAAAAGAAAATTTATATTTTTACAAATATAAATCATGATCGCATTTGATATTTTATAAAAAATAAAACACTGATTAATTATTAAATGAATAGATGCAGGATGTAAATCTGAATTCTTATCCTAACTTAACCATCAATATTTTACCAATAATATGTATGGGTGATTTTACAACTACATTTTAATGACTTCCCTATTTTCTTTATTAAAAAACCTCCCTGCATCTGATAGTAATTTCATAATGCATGTAATATATATATAAACCCAAGCGTGAAATGAGACAGAGCCGATGATAGAATTTGTGCAAATGTGAGTTTTATGTGAAATAATTACAGAGTAAATTTATCGCAAAAATGATTTATTTGCCATAAACGTCACCAACACTATGGGTCGTGACAAGTAACCCAGTTTTCAATTTTATGAACTATAAAGCTTGTAATGGAATATCGACAGTATAAATAGAAATACCTTTCTAGGATAATAGTTCGGCATCCAGTGAAAATTTCGATCGCCAAACATACAACAACTGGACATGGTATGATACGAACAGCAGTCGTAAAAATTGTCATGTCTACATTTCCCACAATCTCCGTATAAGTCAGGGTGACTACCGCCCCTGTCGATACACCTCTGCTCCATTAGCATAGGATTACTCCCATATTTTTGGGGATCGAATCGTTCGTGACGCCGATGAAAATTTTTAAAACAGTACGGCTCTGTAGCGTGCGGATTGCAGCACCAATTTTGGCACCCTGAAGAGGGATAAAAGTCTTCGAGTCGCGGAGGACTCTTTAAAATGTGCGTTGATCGTGGTCTTTCTTTTTCTTTTTCCCCTTTCCCGTGCGATCGTCTTCGGCGATCCAGACTGCCGGGGGCGGATTTTTCCGCCGAACGCCGAGGAGTACGCTCTCTACTGGGAGGCAGTCTGTTAATGGGGGGTTTTGTATGAGGTAGTTGGTCTTCCATCTTCGGAGAAGGAGATGGACTTTGGTTTTTACGAATCCATTTAAAATCTTTATTGCAACGGGACGAACTGGTGTCTGCTGACAATCACACTAACTGTTAACGCTTTTCCATGAAATTAATTAATCGTATTTGAAATATATTTATTCAATGTTAGTTTCCTAAAGAGCTATGGGAATTTTTTGAAATTGAATTCGAATAATTTGAAGTGTTACAGTCTATTTCCCTATTTCCAACTTTAAATCTTGTTTTTATTTATCCAAAAACAGCATAGATACTACTATTGAGGTATTTTGTTATTCCTTTGGTTTAGTTAAACAGGCACATCTTTTTTAAAAAATGTTCCAGAATTTTGCACATACTCGAAACTATGAAATATAAGTTTTCTGCACTGAATAATTATAAAGCGATTATGCAGACAAGCCTGTTATTGGTAAATTTTAATTAACTGTCACTGTGTAAGATTTAGTAGAGCTCCATATTAGATTCACAGACGCGTATTTTGTGACAACATATTCTGAAGATTTTAATAGTAATTGACGTCTGAAAGTCCTTTATAATACTGTGTTCAATATTTTAAGCATTCATTATGTCATAAATATTTTCTGAAAATTCACGTCCAATATCAATTTTTTCGTCCTTTGACAAACCTTATATATTTTTATTTCATTTAGGGTGGTAATAATTTAGTAATTTGGTGTTTGTTTTTGTTACAGGAACCACGACAGTAATGGTGAGTTTTAATTAGTACTTTATTTTGTTATAGTTGAATCGTTATGGGGTATATGTCATACGCTCGTTTTCACCCGTATTATCAGTTAAGTATTAATCATATATGAGAAAAGCCAATACCAACATATTTGCACTCAGATCTTGATTTGTTAAATAATAAATAAGTAATTGTTCATGCTGAACATCTTGTCATCGAAAATGATGAAAGAATAAGTTGAAAAATGTCGTATTTGTGCCTTCATCTTCACTCCTTTAATATTTATCGTTCCAACGCAGTCGGAATTTTTTAGAAAGGAATAATATCTCGTTTCTCCCCATAGAATACAAATAAAAAAGCCTTTAACAACTAGAGACAGCGTTTACGTACTTAATACATAAACTTCCGTCGCACAAAATGTGCAATTTCAAGAAGTTTTTGATATAAAGCATTTTCAATTTGTTAGTTCGATTAGAATGTTATCGCCTGGTAAAACAGATTAATAAATTAATGTAAATGACCTTTTACAATACCACGCGGCTGATTTTCTGAAGACGTAGAGGAGAGATCTGATGTTGAATCTCGATTTGACGTTGTACCTGACCAAGGTGCGTTTCCTTTAACCGTGGAATCATCTTCAGGACTAGACGAATCTTGCCCTATATAAAAATATTTAAAAAAAAAATATCCTATTTAGCGATACGTTTATAAAAATTTCAAGTCCAAGAAAACAAAAATACTTAAGGGATTAAGTTTTCATTTTTGCATAGGTATTTTTATAATTTTTGAAATTTAGTTAAATTAAACAATCCTAAAAAGTTTAGATTTCGAGACCGACACGCAAATTTTCTCGCTGCACACTGTTACCCCTCAATAAGTAGAGTAGGACATATTATTCACCGGTCTGTCCATATTTGAATAACATAATACTTGTTTTATCATGTAATATGTTCCAAATTTTTCGCAAGACTTGGGCATAGGTACCAGAGATCATACCTTACGAAGTAGTCCTGTTTTTATTAGCACTATAATTGAAGATTATTCTCACATATGGTACATATTAAATTTCCTGACATCATGTATTTCTTAAATATTCTTTTATGGTTTGCCTCAATTATATTTCCATTTAAAGAAAACTGTTACAAATATGTGACGTTGATGCCAACATTAGTAGTTAGTACAGAAAAAGTAAGTACCACACTGTGTTTCCATAACAAAAGTTTACGATTTTGGGAAAACAATCTTAATCAGAACGATTAGCATAAACAATCTACATAAATAACTCCTGTTAATAATTTTTTGGTATTCTTATTTCAAATGATATTCTATTAACTTGTATATCCATAAACCCCTTAAATACAACTTGATATCTATTTTTAATTTTTTTATTGAGAATGGTCTATTTAGAATTTCATTTGAATGCCAGTTCAACTGTGAAATGCTACCAACAATTCGACCCTGCCCATAGAAATTAGCAACGGCAGATAAATAGACGCTATTTTATTGATTACTATTGAGATTACGCCATCAAATTGTTGAATAAATAGCTACACAAACAAAAATGAATCACAACTGTGAACTCACAGGTACAAATAAATATTTTTGATGGACAATCTGCCAATAGTTGCAATTATCCACATTATAAAAGGGAATAAAAAGCACGTGATAATTTTTCATCCATCAATTCGAAAAAGTAGATGATACAATGCGTTTTTGTTATTTTATTTTTGCTTTTTTTTTTATTAACGGAGTCCAAGCAGAAAGCTAAATCATGGAACTATTTTTATTACTTCGTTCTGTGTTACATCAGAAGTTTTAGTATAAGAACTACTAAAAGCAACATTTGTAAACTTGGCTTCTTTTAATTTAAAAATAAACTCCACACGCATGTTCACTAGGAATTAAGACACAATTGCGTGCAAGTTAAAATTTGTGCTTGGAATTTAAAGGAAGTTAATATTACTCTCGGAAACAATCAATTTAAATCAAAATAAAATTACATATCCCGACATCTTTCTGAAAGTATTCGAATACTTAATAGAATTAAAATTGTTCCAAAAATGTTTATTCCGTCTTTATAATAATTTAAATAAATAAACCACATGTATTTGGGTAATAATTTACTTTTTGGAAAATTCGTTTCATTCGTTTTCATAAAAATTAGTGAAAAGTGACAGTAATTTAAATTCATATTTGCACTCCTTGGAATTCAGCTAATTGTACGCATACGGTACATATCAAAAAAATATCTACTACAATTCCAAATATGTTCAGATGTTAATGAAGAATTCAAGAAACTTTTAGGAATATGTATATAGATCAAATTAAATGGAAAACATATTATCAAAATTAAATTTTTAACAGAAATACAAGAGTACTTATTAGTAGGTAATAACCCATCGTCCTAAATTTTCTAAACTTAACTAAATTAATGTCGTTATCATCTATGTGCTTCCTAAATGCATTCTAACGTAACACCTTTTTATGCGTTCTACACGTCGGTACGTACTATTAGTTGAATTAGCGCTGACATCTTCACTTTCCATAGCAATAAAACGAATTTCTCGTCGAAGGGACGCAATTTCACACACCGTTCACATGGATGGCACGCGGAACGACGAAAAAGTGTTTTTTACGGCTTGTTCTACAACCGCACGATGACGGTTCGACTAAGGCGTAGAACGAGGTGCCCAAAGAGCACATGAGTAAACATAATGAAACATCAGCACCAACGGCGATTTTACTATCAGTTTGCTATTTTCAGATGATGCTTACTTTTTGGACGATGGCCAAATCGAATTCGGCACACATTCGACAGTTAAAAGGCGGTCTAATGAAATTAATCGTGTTGAAAAACGTGTACACACTCGCACAACCCATGCAAATTTCAAGAGAATTACTATCGTTAAATTACTTTCATAATTGACTCTCTGCAAATATACATACTACATATCAATGTGTTACTATTTATCAGATAAGATGCCCTGGAGCAACAAAAATTTTCCTTCATTAACTTGAGACAGTTTGTAGTGGATGGAAAATTGAAAATGAATTTTCACATTAATATCTAACCTAACCTAACCACTATTAATAATTAAAAATGTCACTGAGTTCCGCAGTTACCATTTTCAAAAAGTTTTTTTCACATTTTTTACAATCCGTGTTCGTCTATCGACGAAAATCTTAAAGCAAAAATAAGAAAGAAGCCTACGATAACCATGATTTGAATTAAAACGTCAAAAACATACCGATTATACAATTTTATCAGAAAATAAAACAAATATAGATTAAGAATAGACCCCAAACAACTGCATGAGACGAATACCCCTAATTTGTTGATAATTTTTCAGTTTTTATTTAAAAATTTAAAGATGAAAAAATTAACTTAACTCGAAAAGTTATTTTAAAGTTCCCCAAGTTCAACAGCAACCTAATCGTACCTTGTAAACTATAAATCAGGCTTATTTTTAGATGTTACGGTCCTGCAATAGTGTTAAGAACGTTTTTTAGAGATAACATTGAAAACTGCTAACTTGAAACCCATTAGAAAGAAATATCGCATCTAATATATTTTTCGATTTTGGTTTTTTCCAAAATACCACAAACCACAACTCCAAACTTAATGCTATTAATATTATTCGTGTTTACATATGTGTTACTCATCTGACATTCGTGGATTAACAATAGGGCATCATATCACCAGCTAATAAAGGGCAGTGCATTAAAAATAACTACATCTGAAATGAAAAAGGGTGAATTTGGACAGAATTCTTCGTGGAGCCAAAAACAAAAAACAAATTAAGTACCTATTCAAGAAAACACAGAAGATACCGCTAATTTCAATGTCTTATGTTGTAATCTAAAAATAATAATTTACTAAAAAATAAAAATAATTCGTCTCTTCAACCTATGGTACCTATACATATGCGTACCATAACTAAATTCTTCATAAATATTAAGTCAACTAAGCAAAAATTTCGAGACCAATGAATAAAATGCATTTTAAGTCTAAATTAAATTTTTGTTTAAATTGTAATTTATTACCACCGGCCGATGAGTTAAAACTTATTCCAGATGTGCGTTCCTCCTCCGTGATGGTATCCAGTCCCCCGTTAACCACGTGTTCTCCCTCGAAATCGCTATCACTTTCACTGGTCGACGGGCTCGTCTCGTAATCTCCTTCAGCCTCTTTCAGGTGCGAAAATTTGAACGAAAAGTCCGTGGTCGTCGAGAAACCATCCTCACTACCGCCACCCCTCACTTTATCGCCACTTGTCACTGTTCCCCTGTCGCGATTATTATTGTACTTGGCCACGAACTTCTCCACGTCTATGGCAGTCAGATCAAAATCCTCGACGGCCGCTTCAAAATCGACTTCCCTGTCGAGCCCTCGGCAATTTTGGCCGCTCCCCTTGTCATTAGTGAGATCACTCAAACCCAGGTCGAAGGCATCGGCGGATGAAGGCGAACCGTGATGGTTATGGTTGTGTTGACGCCGCGTGGCTAAGGCATCTGGTGCGTTCCACTCAAAACAATGGTTATTTTTAACTATCCCCGGTCCCGATAGTTGCTCTCCCATAGCAGTAGCAGTAGCAGCATCAGAGGCACGATTTTGATGCTTCCTGGTTTCGAAATATCCCGGCGGCGCCCTCGCGGGATCGTGAAAATCACCGCACATTTGATCGGGACTAAATCGGGCGAAAGCTGAACATTTGCCACTCAGCATCTTCTGGACCGCAGGTTCCATCACGTAGATGTCGTCCGAGTATTCGTCGTCCTGAAGGTGCACTTGTTGCTGTTCGATGATAGCGACAGCTGCAGCCACCACGGTGCCTCTCCCCTTCATTGTCTTATTCTATTTCTACCATTGTTACGAAAATAAACCAAAATAATGCGGTGTTTTTCGTCGAAGAGCTACGACAAATCCAACACCCCAAGCCCCGCAGCTAACGCGTCTAGCATTTTTATGTTCCAGAAATAATACGAAATTATAAAAGGACGCGCCAAAGTAAAACAGAAATGAAATTGGAATTTATTTATGTAATTACGAGTCCGTTCACACAGCAGACTGGCACGCTAAAAATAATAATAAGAAGATTCAAATTTTGATAAAAGCCAATTTATGAAAAATCGCCAAATACAATTAAAGTCGGGAGAAAAGAAAACCATGTATTTTTGTCATCGCCTTTCTAAATTTAGTGTTTGTTCATCAATCTTTCTTATTCTAACACCTACGACAATCTTTCCAAAATAAATAATTATGTTTAGGAGTCGCTATTTTAACATGAATTTAATACGTGTAAATTTCCAAACTAGGTATATCTAGTTAAAGCCTACGTTTTTCATTGGATTGTAGTCAATTCAATGTCATTCGTTGTGGCCCATTTTTTAAAGTCAAATTAACAAATAATTCTATTTCGTCATCCAAAGTCAATTACTATCTCCGTATTACGTATTACATGGTACTTAAGTACTTATTTCGAATTAGATTTCAAAAAACAATATCTAGAATCTACCAAATGTTTTTAAAAACATAATACTTTGTAAAATAAATTTCAAATATTTTCACTCTAAACGTACTTCATGTCTATCTTTAGTTTTATATTGAACTATGAACTAGTGTGAGTGTATGTAACAAGAGCGAAATCAGGGCTGATGTCATGAAACGGAAACTAGAAGCGGTCCAGAGGAGAGGGAAGTTTCAAATTAAATTACAGAAAACGCACGAAACAATAAACCCATTGAATCGATTCGCTGTTTCTATATAAGTATACTTTTTATAGATTACTGCTTCCGAATATATTAGAATTACAACTGTATACATAATGGATTTAATGGCATTACTTATGTAAATCGTCTACTAATGAATCAAATTCTTTCATTAGATTGTACATACAGGATTATCTAAATTGGATTTTAATTACTGAAATTACTGAGTCTCTAATACCTACCAGATCTGTTAAATAACACCAAAGCTAGAAGTATATACCTGACAAAACTATACCATATCTATATATAGATGTTTTTTGTAATAATTTTCCTATTTGTTGCAATTAAATATTAAGTAAATATTAATTTTCAAGGATTCAACTGCAATTTTTTAGCATTTTGTAAACACACGATGCATCATCAGTGCACTATTTTAAGTAACCGCCGTATAGCAATTTTATCAATTTAAAATCTAGTCAATTTTAACGACGACATGAAGTGAATAATCATTTCAATTACGTATTTTAGTTAAATAGTTAAGTCCGCTGGATATTTATAACAGACTGTTTGCAGAAAACACTCAATTCCCGTTTTTTTAAAGTGATAGGTACATTTAATTATTATGGCATTACCTATACGAAATAATTATAAATGATGAAATAATGCATTACAATTTACGGTATAATAATAAATAATTCATGAAAAACAACTACACAAGGAAATTACTGACAATCAGCTGGAAAATTGTAGAAACTGACAAATTCTAATTTTGCTTTTCATCGTAACTATAATGTAAGTTTGTTTGTTTGTTACGCTTTCACGCCTTAAATACTAAACCGATCATCATGAAATTTTGCACGTACAATGTCAGGGGTACAGGAAAGGACATGGGGTACCTTTTATCCAGAAAAAAATAACTGTTCTCGAAGTATAGAAAAACTTCTTTTCATTTCAATATATTTACTGTCATTCTACCCAAAAAGTAAACCTAGAAAATTAGAAACTTTAATTTTATCTCAATGATCCTGGCCAGGACTTAAGAACAAATTTATCAAATTATTGTATTTTCGAAGATCTTTGACACATAATTAGGACACTCTCGTTGAAGCCGCGGATAAAAGCTTATTAGTTATATTTCTAATCTGACATCCAGTAATTTCTATATTTAGTTCAAGATGCATACAGTTTGCAGTTGCAATTTCATTCACACTTGTCCTAAAACGATAAAAATGCTATATATTCGATATAATGTAGTCGAAAATATTTGAAACGTCTTAGATAAGAAGCTAATATACAGCTATACAAACTTTGCCCTAAAAATTGGGAGCTTACACCGAAGGGATGCGGAAATTGTCCGGCTTTTCGCGTTTATCGCGACAGTCAAAAACCAACTTGTAAATAACAAATACATACCGAAGTAAAATTGTGGGACACAATAAACTAAAGCCACACATAAATAAGTTGAATCACCACCCGACAGGGTGCATAACAAACCGTTTGTTTGGCGCTATTCGTCACGGAATCTTTACAGAACTTGTTAAAGCAATTAATAACATTGTCCTCGGTTTCGGTCCGAAATTATCGACAACATCCACTCAACTCGCTTTTCCGACCGGCAATTATTTTATGACGTAACACGACGTGATCCGCCACTACACACAACAAGCAGCAACAATTCCAACGTATATATATATATACGTAGAACACTTAATTTATTAACGTCAGTGGCTGCACGATAAGGGGATTAAATAAGGGTGCACGTACACGTAATTATAATTGCTGCCGACTGCGATATCATGTACATACGTACGTGCATCGTAATATACTACCTACACGGCCTACTTCGTTACATTTTATCTAATGTATCATTCGGAAAGTTGTTAAACAATAATAACACGAATATACAAAAACACTCGTAAAAAAACAGCACTTTTCTGATTATTTTTGTTGTTACAGTTTCTATCTTGTATTTGTTTCTTGTTTATGGTAATACAGTTACCGATTCAAATGGTAACCCTTCTCTTATGGGAAGCACATATCTGAAAATGTGTCCACTGGACTATGTAAATGTCTCCAATGAATGTCTGCACCGAGTTAAATCGAAAGCTCTATCCAACACCGCCTAACTAACTAACTAACAAACTAACTAATAACCAACCAAGTACAGTAGTACTAGTGACGACTCTGTGACTGTCTCGGGTTGAATCTTTTCTTCACTGCATACTCATTGGAACACATTACCGGCGACAATCTGAAAATAGCATCTGCATTTGTTTACGAAATGTGTGTGTATATAGTTTATACGTGTTATATAGTCGCCACCGTTTCATGTATAAGACGTGGGTATATATGTATGTAGATAATCTACAGTCGCCTTTCTAATAAATGTGTGAGAAATAAATCTTACTATGTATCGCGCCAATAACAATGACCCGGGTGCGCCAAAGCTCATGCATCGAAACCTCTGGACCATGTACCTACTGCATCCACCCCGAAAATTAACTTAACCCGGTCTAACGTAAAAAAAAAAAACAGAAGCATTCAACATCACATAATTGAAGACGCTTTCTTTAATGCAAACTTATGCATTCGCATGTAATGATGCAAAAATATACACGTACTTAGTGCTTTGTTAAAATCGACAGCTTTTGTGATTTTTCTCTTGTTGAACGTGATCGCTATATTACTTACTCAAGAAAATTTCACTTTCCCGGCCGAGCGATGGAGGAAAATAGCACACGCACCAGGCGAGGAAATAAGCATGAGGTCTATTTCAGTGCGTAATGCACTGTCATCATAAAACCCAAGACGTTTTGGGTTATAGGAACTTACAATGTACAATGGTGTGCCGCACCCTTGGCCCATCTAAAATAAACTGGCTATGTCCCTGCGTACCGTATAGGTACAAACCGTAGGTTGGAATTCTAACATTAATCTACAAACATCATACACCTTTTCAAACTGAATAACAGTAGAATCCGCTTATAATAACATCGAAGGGAAATGACAAGCACGTCATACTAAGCGGGCGTCATACAAAGCATAGTCTTAGAAAATAAACAACTTTCTATTTTGGTTAGTTATTTAATTTAATAGAGAGAAAAACTACAAATTGTATATATTTATTAACAGAAAAAGAAAAAAAACGACGAATTGTAATATCAATATGCATAAGAAGGGTCAGAAAAATGAGCGAAAATGTTATTATTAATCATTTGGGTCACTATAGCCGGATATGATTTCTTGAGAATCAGTCATAATAAACGATATGTTATTTTAAACGGAGTCATTATGTCCAAACTTTCCTATAGAACCAAACTTAACACTGCGATTACTTCATATTAAGCGGTTGGTCAATATAGGCGGAGTCATAATAAACGAATTCCACTGCACATCCGATACTCACACGGTTTTTCTTTTCAAATGCGTATATTTAAATTACTTTGTAATATTGCTTCTCTTTAATTACTTTCTTTCATATTATCTCTGAACTAAAGTAATTTTTAAAGGATATGAAAACTACTAAAGCAATTTGTACCAAATCATTACATATTGGTTAAACTCTCATTTAAAAGATATCTGATAGAAAAACATTAAGACTTTCATTTTCGATTATTATATGGAAATTTGCCTAACGAAACCACATAAAAACTAAAGAACAAAAGATAAATTATCAAACTTAACAGATCACACTGCATTATATTTGATAAAGGCTGTACACCACCCATACATGTAGTGCCACTGTTCAGTTATTAGTACTCGCCTGTATTCAAAATTCACGCTTCGTTATCGCCATTAACACAGTTCAAGTGCTGCTCGTGAGTATAAAGTTTGTCTATTAATAATTTTAAAACAGCGCTGACAAGAGCCACGTACAGGGTAATTGACATAACCCTCACGTTTCACGCTTTCAACAACTCAAAGAGGAGAACGTTGGAAGAAAATCCATCTTCTTTACCATTTATACGGTGTAAGGACAAATACCATCAATTTGGTGTGCACCGTTACAGTTTTCTCCCAAACAGATTCAATTTCAGATTAAAAATCGTCATATCTATAAATTCTTTGCTCGCCCTCGAATTGCGAACGTCCGAAAAAGAATAAAAAAAAATCCCTTAAAAGTAACAAAAGAAAAGAAAAATCGTGAGTTGTAACCTAAGTAAAACCTAAGGTAATAATATTATTTTGCCGGTAGTAGGCTAGAAACGATGGGATCGAAAGAGGAGGTCTCCCCCACCACTGTACCATAAAAAGTTCGTGGCGGTCTCACCCCCATAAAAAGTTATGGGGGTTAGATGATGGTGTGGGGGTTCGAAAGAGGGTGGTCACCTGAGTAAAACCCCATAAAAAATTTGCGACGGTCTCACCCCCATAAAAAGTTATGGGGGTTGAAAGTTGATTATTTTGACAATCTTCATACACTATAATTCAAATAAAATTCAATAAAAAAAATATTTTCAAGCGGGTGGAGGTGGGGGATCGAAAGAGGGTGGTCACTTGAACAAAACCCGATAACCTAACCTAACCTAACCTAACCTACCCTATTGATAAAGATATTTAAATAATGTTTTATATAACTTTCTCAATATTTTTATGTATTTTTCATTAGTTTTACCTTTGAATATTGTTTAAGAATGACTATATAAATATTTACATGCCTAGAAATGTATAAAAATTGGCATATTTATTAACTTTGAACCCCCATAACTTTTTATGGGGGTGAGACCGCCACGAACTTTTTATAGTACAGTGGTGGGGGAGACCTCCTCTTTCGTCCCCCCCCACCCGCACCCCTTTGGAGGTGGGGGCCATCATCTAAACCTTTACCAAGATCCCTTAAAAGTAACAAAAGAAAAGAAAAATCGTGAGTTGTAATTAAAACCTAAGGTAATAATATTATTTTTCCGGTAGTAGGCTAGAAACAATAAGTTTTGTAACGTTAGATCTAGTATGGGTTTACTTACCTGCAGTTATTTGTCACCTTGCACAATTTACTCTCCGCCGATAAAAACTCATGAATTACATACATAATATGAAAATAAATTTCCTCTGCAAAATTAGAATGAAAACTTTATCGCACATTGTTATGATGTTCGTGGTGATTCTCATTATCTTTTTAATGGAAAAGTTACTTGATATTTGGACGCAGTCCGTAATTTAATTATTCCCTAGCGCGGAATGTCAACTTCTGAAAATGGGCATCCAGAATTATTGGAGTTTAAGCAACTTTTCAAAAAACTATTCCAAACTATGACACGCCCGGATAATTATAATTAGCTAATTAAACATCGGACCAAAAAATTTTATCGAGTTAATTTTGTGTTACGTTTTTATTTGATGGAAAAAGTACGGTTAACTTTAAAGTATGAGCTTTAGATAAAAATTATCCAGTTAATTTGAAGCATTCACTTCGGGGATGCTTTATGTACAATCAAAAAGAGAAAACGCGAAAATATTTGAGTCTAAAGGTTTTTAAGAACCACAACAATTCAAGGATTTTCCTACGCGCCGGAAAATTAAACAAGTTGCCTTGGGGCAGGATAAAATGAGGTGGATGCATCTCCACCGAAAGTATTTCCTTCAAAGTTTCGTTGCTTGATAAAATATTTCTACGGAAATATTTACCTCTAGATATATAAAGTAGTACCTCAAAATACACATCTTCAAAAATACAATATTTATTTGTTGGTAAAAATTATTAAAAGGAATATTAAAAAAAAAATATATATCGAGGACATCTGCAATATATTTCGATTTCAAAGTCGCAAGAAAATAGAAATGTAATAGTTCAATGTATTTGGAAATGTGTAAGTCTTCTTTCTTCAATGGAAAATAAATCCTGAGTAAGGCGAAAGCATTTTTCGTGTCTTTTGCCACAAGATGTGCGACAAATGCTCGCAGCTGGCGACAAAGAACGAAAATAAAAACGAAATAGAGAGAGAGAGAGGGCTAATAAATAGTACGAACATTTCGTTTGTGGGACGAATAACATAGAAAGGCACTAAATAACGAAAGCCGCGTAGAATTAAAAATAAAATTTCTTACTGACCTGTATCCATGTCAAGAGGGTTTTGGCTATATGAGGTTCAGGAGGTGCTAGTGAGGGGTTGTTCTGGAGTGCTGAAAAAAGTACATTCGTTGCCTCTCGCACCCCCAGAGAAACTGGCGAATTGGAAAAGCCCCCATAGTCTGGAGAATGGGGGCTGCCTGTCGTTAAATTTCCTGAAACAGACAGATAACAATCTGCTGAATAAGTCTTTTCACCCTTGCTAGGTATTGATTCAAAAGCTTCTATTTGATTTTGTGGACACGAGGATGTGCTGAAAAGGGTTAAAAGGAAGCTTCAAGAAAGACAATAATGTCCCTCTCAAAGAGTCAATCTCGACTTGTTACCGAGACATGGACTATTATATCTTCCTATTTATAGTTCTTTTTCCTCTCCATCGATATGTTTCTCGTCTATGATTTTATATTATATTTCATATGGGCATTTTTAAACTTAATATAGATCATTAAAGTTGTATTTTAAATAGTTTGTTAAATAATCAATTACCTAACGGAAATTTTATAACAATAAGTTTTACAATTTTAATCATGATTAGAATTGTTCTTCTCTCCACTCTTCCATTGTTTATCTTAAAGGGAAATTTTAATGTACCTTTTTTAATTATTTATTTAACGTTTAACGGTGATGTAAGTAACATTTTTACATAATTTGCATTTTTTTAGCAATGTCAATTTTGTAATCGGGTAACAAAATACGATGTTGGTAGAGTCCGAAAGTTTATTTTAAATTCTACTTGCAATGTTCTTTTTAACGAATTAAAAAATTTCTTTTGCTCCTGTTTGCACGTGTAGCCCCTTGGTCCCCCCCCCTTCGACTAATGTTTTTGTTAGATATGACAGGAGTAGAATTTGGGATAAGGATCGTTCGAGTACAGAGCCATTAAAAGATTAGGAGCCCCGCTTTTCTTACTAACAAAATTATTAAATATACATAAAATTTAACTCGGTAAAATTTGAAAACTGTCAAAATCTAATTTCATGCTTTCCGATTTTCCTTCGGTTTTATGCACTGACTGACGTGCGAGAGTTTATATGCATTCTAGACTAGAGCGAACTGTCCAATATGTAACTGTGGGGCGGTTGAATGATAAAAAGGTGATAAATCACGACTGATGTTGATTACAATCAACTACGTGACTGACAAACGATTATGTTCGGCTTTGTGCAAGCCAAATGTGTT